TTGTGCGTTATGGTATTAATTAAAATATACACCGCACATCAACAATAATAAAATGGAATTATTTGGTTCAGTGACTCCGAACCACTTGTGAGGGGAGAATGTAATATATTTTCGTATATAACATATATCAAATTGATATACATAACTTTGTTCTCATAAGCAATAGTTTAGTTATTAAGTGGAGGCACTCAGTAAATATTTTGCTAAACTAAATGTGATGTAAACCAACTTATCAAGATAAACTGTCTTGAATAGAAAATATGAAAATTATGCTCGAAATTAAATTACTGAGCAAGTTACCTCGCAAACACCCGTCAAGTTGCGGGTTAATAATAATTGCATATGTAATCATATCATAGATGCATCTTATGTGGTATACATGGCAAGTGAATAGGTCCATATTCACCTTTGATATTTTCTGCATTTATGGGATTCAATCCCAATTTTAGTTGGTCTATTAATTAATAAGAACAAGCAACATAAGAGAATTCGTAAAGACCTTTCTAGTTCTTTAATATTTACCCATGTGAATTCTGTTTTATTTCTGGACAACATACTTAATTTAACATGACTAAGCCAATTACGCCAACTAAATAAATTATCAATATTGATAAACTTTAGGTTTACACCATGACGTGTGCAATTATGAATAAACTCCAAGTTTATTATGATATGAGTTTATATCAATAAACTTCTACTTTATTGTATTTTTTTTATTTGTGTAGTACAATTCTTGGAGAATAAAGCGGATAATTTTTCACATAGATATTATTCCGCTACAAGTTGTAGTAATAGAATATATTAAATATTTCTTTTATTTATAGTCTCAATATAACCAACCGCTTTCGCTAATACTTTAGAAACTCAATAAGTTTCTTTGAGACTTCTACAACACAATGACTTATTGATAATCAATTTTGTTCCTTCAAAATAGTAATAATTGGCTCTTCGAGAGCTCTCGATTAATTTTGTACTACCACATATTCATCAACATCCATATGGTGAATTTCTCTTTTAAAGAGAAAGTTATATCATTATGGTTATGGTCAAAATTATATGCAAGATCTGTTTCTTGCGTTACCGTTATTTTTAATAATCACATTACTAAAATATTTTGCCGTATAATAAGTTCGTGACCAATGACCATTTATGCCATAATAATGATATTATTTTCTTATTTCCTCTCAAACCTCCTTCAGAAGTGAGTGTGGTATATACCACTAGAACGCTCATATTCTTCCAAGAATGAATATATATTCATAAATTACATGTTGTCACATTCACATCATAAATGGACCATAATCATCTATTTGTGTTTTACAAAATCTCATATCAAATCGATGACAAATATTATTTTCACATAGTGAAGGATTATTTTGAGAACTCTTATTGTTCTCATTACCACAATGATGACGATTATAATTTCATCTATTGCCACGTCCACATTCAATGATACCTTCACGGTAATAATTTTATCTTCTTTCAGACTTATCACATATTGCGAACACGTTCTTTTATGGGAATGAGAATGAAGCAAATTCAATGGGACATGTTTTCACTTTTTTGTGCTCATAATCATACATGCATTTGATCATGGCAAGACATAGATATTTTATCATTTCGGGTGGTTTTAATTTTTTACAAACTCTATTAGTGTTATAATCAAAATTTATTGTCTTTATTTGTATTTAAAATCAAATTATAGAATTCAAGAATAAGAAAGAGAAAAATAAAGAAAAATACATACCTTAAATCCAGAATTTAATCATGCAGAGAGTTCATGGAACAATTGACAATCATTATGCTCAATCCCAAAGCTTCTACTCAATTAATTAGAGTCTCGTGCTGATAACGTATTATAAAACAATAAAGAAGAAGAAGAGTATTGCTGAGAAAAGTAGGGAGAGTGAATTCTTATTGATTTAGGATGAATTACAATGGAATAGAACCCCTCTATTTTATAAGGAAAGAGTGACTTAGCCACCAAGTAAAATCTCAAAAATCTCTTTTAAATATTGACATTCACCTTAAATACAATTCTATTTATAACGCATTTAACTTTATTATATAAAAGTATGTACATATGCGTGTGTATATAAAATCATCAAATTTTAAGAGAAACGCACGCCAAAATTTATAGTTAGTAATTGGCATCCCGCATAACTATATTAAAATAGTGGTGCCCCACCTCCAAAGCCTGGGTCCTCACACACACACACACACACACACACATATATATATATATATATATATATATATATATATATATATTACTTTATTATTACTATTATATTACTTTACTAATATATAGAAGAGCGGGAGAAGCAGCTCGAGATCGTCATGTGTGCTTGCCGCTAGAGGTTATTCTGGTCATTTCAGTTTTAGTCTTTAATTTCTCTTAGAACAACTGTAAGCACCCTAACACTGACAGCAGTAAAGTAGCCACCTACATTATGATCGGCGCTTGGGTTTCTCTGTTGGTGGCTCAACGCGTGCACTTCCATATCTTACATCCGGGTAAGTGACCGCTTCATATTATCAGTCATAACACTATCTGAAAGTTTCCCTCTCTCTGAACACCTCCTTGTAATCTCTGCTTTCTCTTACTGTTATTGTTGTTAATTGCACTTCAGTGATTTTTCCTCGCTCGACTGTTATTTTTTGGTGTGTACGCTGGTCCTCATCTTGTGCTTCTTTCATCTTTGATGGCATGTTAGAAATTTGTGTTTCTTGAAGAATTAGGCTTCTGCATATAGAAATTTAACATACCAAGGCCTTTATTTTCTAAGTGTTTGAGAAAATTCTTTAATGAATTGTGCTTCCGGGGTGAGTTTAGTTCATACTAATTCGATTCCATATATTTTCCTTTTGGTTTTCTGCTGCGTTTGATTTGTGTAATAATGAAGTTTTATACTTTAAAACCTCACAGCATAATGATAATTCTACTTTTAAAAAGATTGTGCTTTTGTCGATAAAATTTTAGAATAAAAAGGGTTCGGCAGCATGTTTTAGACAATTTACCTGTAGTTCAGCAGATGCTCTAATAAAATACATCTTTTCCCTGAACCATATAATTTAACATGCTAATTCTAAAGTCATTTATACCTATTTGGCACTTTCTGTTTCAGTAATTGTTATTGTTGATGGTTTAGGTGCACTATTTGATGGAGAATTTGTGATGTTTGTAGCAAAAGTACTCAAGTAAGAACTCTAAGAGGCAACAGTTGAAAGAACGATGATTTTGGTCAATTCGATAATTTCCTCTGCAGAAAATTACTTAGTTCTTTTAAAAGAAAATAAAATTTTGATTCTTTCTTAGTGAAGAACATTGCTTTTTAACTTGGTTGTTCGTGAAATAAGAAAGCCTGTGAAAAAATGAATTATGTTTTCTCTGATGTCTAGAGTTATTAGTTAGCTCTGCCCAGCCCTGCCCTGCCCTACTATTATATCCTTTATTGCTAACATTATTGGTAGTGGATTTTTCTCATTTATGTCTCTTCTGATGTATTGCTCCAGTGCCATCCACACCACTTTTGATTTTTTTCCTATGTTTTATCCCTCCTTTCGGTACCTTGCCACTATTCGATTTTGTAATGCTTTTGATTACTAACTTTTTGCTGCTCAAGATGATTATGCTAAATCGCCAATCTAAAGGTACTAAAACAGTTTCATCTATGGCACAACATAAATTATCATTTGGAGTCAAGATATCCATCAGTTCAACAAGACAACCATGAAGGTAAGTGTTCCTGTTAGAAGTTAGAACTTTCTAATTTTTGAGGGGGTTATAATTTCTCCATTAGTTTACACGAGGAATTTTTCTCTGTTCTTCCCTTGAACAATTTATTCTGTTAAAAACAAGGTTTGCTTTCGACCATTTAACCATTAGTAAATATGGACCTTCTAGATTGCATCTCATCAGGCAAATTGAAGGATGTTTGGATCTCGATGACCACCTCGATGACATTAGCAAGTAAGAGTGTTATAATATAATCTGACTGAACTCTCTAATATCCCCATTCTTTCTAAAAGTCACGGGCTTTTCTGCTTTTGCTCATCTATTGATAGGGACCGGGTGAATATAATGCTCTTCAATTGAAGTTTCTGTGTGGAATTGGCTATTGTCCTCTTGGTGCCCCTCTCATGGGAGGTGAAAACAACTTCAGGAAAACTGGTACTCATTTCAAGACTTCTCACATGAACATATCTGCTATCTCACCTTAGCCCAAGTATTAGGTGATTAAAACCCAAATGCTTTTTATTTCTTACATCTTTTTCTTTTCTTAACATTTGAATATTCACATTCTTGGTATATAGATTGTGGTTTATCACTAAGCAGCGTTATAGATTTGGTTGGTTTAGCACAAAGCTGAAATTTGTGGGAAGTGATTCTGCTGGTGTTGTGACAACATTTTATGTAAGCTCAGAAAACTTTGTGCATGAAATAAAAAATCAATACATATAAATGAGTGTAGTGGGGATTTTAATTTGCATTGGGTGCAGATGTGCTCGGAAGTTGAGGCAGCGCCATTGAGAGATGAGATAGATTTTGAATTCTTGGGAAACAGAATAGGATTGCTTTATCTTATTCAAAAGCTAGAGCAATATTTTTGTAGACATGATCAAATTAATAAAACAAATCATGTTGTATCCTCTTTTATCTTCTATTTGTTGTTGTATTGGTTTACATTTATGGTTCAGTATACTAAGGCTAGACACTTGTGCTATTTTTGCCTCAATTATTTCAAAGCTTCAAGATTGCAGATACAACTTAGGAGAAATTTTTGCAGTGAATTGACCATTACTTTAGACTTTAAATTGTTAGAGCATAAGCAAGATCACCTGGTTATAATCTTTACCGCAAATGAAGACAACTTGAGACTGCAAAATGTTAGGCCCATGCGAAGCATGGGCAAGAACATCTAGTATATATATATATACTATCTAATAAGAGGGAATAACAAACACCTAGAGTGCTTCCTTGGAATTAACAATTTATCCGAGGGTATTGTTGTCAATTCACGTATTTCTAGGTCGACTCTTACTGGTGGGACAACACGTGCAGTCTCATTTTCTGTCAATGGAGCACTTGTTGCTCTCTAGGACTTCTATTCTCTCTTAACTTTTCGTGGCAGAGCTTTTTCTTATCTCAGGTGGGGGGTATGTTACCGCTCTTTTCAGTTATTTTATATCATAATTATCTTGCAATTTTCTGTAATTTGTTTGTATTTTGCATTTTGATCGCTGTTTTCTGCTGGGTTTTGTTGTTCTCTTGTGTTTTTCTGTTTCATTTAGCTGTTGTTTTCTGTTGGGTTTCCTTGTCCTCATCTTTTATTTGTCTGTTTCATTTGGCTCTATAAGTGTTTGACAAAATTCTTCAATGAATCAGGCCTTCGATTAGACTTTTATTATTATCTTTCAATTAATTTGTTGCTTTCACATAAATTTGTTACCGCCAATTGGTTTTCAGATGTGCTTGATTTCGCTATTAAGAATTCATTGTCATGGTTCGGCGGTAAACTCTTGTGCCCAGGAAGAATCTCGAGTGGTTAAGTTTTTTTCAGTTTGTTGAGTATTTTCAAAATAAAAATGTGTAAACAATTCAAATTAGAAAGGAGCTTCACTCAATTTGACAATACTAATTTTGTAAAGCCTTTCAAAATATAAATGTATCAAAATTACTATTTAAATTACTTTATGCAGATTTTATTATTGGATAACACCTTTAAGCTACATGTTGAGTTCTTAGTCGATTGGCGCGATGAAAATTGCTTGGACTTCATGTGACCCATAAATCTAAATTCGTGACAACAAGATAAATTCGGCACCATATTAATCAATGTATAGTTTCTTGGGATCAACCCCTCAAGCTAAATTTAGTAGAAGTTAGCCCACGAGAAGACTGCAAAACTAGCAGACCTACTAAAAAGGATCAATATGTGTTGCTGCTTCTTCATTTCAATGTGAATTTTTCAGGCATTACTTTCGAATCAGGTATCCACAGTTATTTTAGACATAAAGTGAACTCGAACTGTACCTCTGTATTTCCCCGTTAAAGAATATTACAGCTGTGTTTACCTGTACTCTTTTTTTATATGAATGGCATTTTACCTATGTCTACCAACATTTGCTTATTACGATTTTTTTTTGGGGGGGGGGGGGGGGGGAATTGATAATTGGGATGTTACCAGCAAATCTTCGAATTTGTTATACGCACATACTGTATTCAGCTACCTCTGTATTGTCAATGGAATTTTTTTTCTTTCTGAACTATGGAAATGCAGTTGCTATCTTGCGGTAATTAGCTTGTGAAGAAATGTCTTCCAAACAAATTAAGAAATAAACGGCCATTTTCAGAAGAGAGAAATAATGAAATGAAACTCAGGTGGGGTGATAGTTATGGGAAGATATCAACTGAAGGCAATGTTCACATATCTTGATGCTTGGAGCTTTTAATCGGTGCTGAGATGTTCTTTTTAAAACATAAAGTCAATGCATTGTGGTCTCTTAATCTCCTATATTTATTAACTAGAGCTTGATTTAGTTATACTTGTACCCCAACCACAATTCATGTTAGAAGCTGCTTTATTATGTAGATATGACCTCTCAAAAGTATTAAACCTCTTGCAGTCAAAGCTAAAAGAAGATATTATGCTTGTAAGTGATGCTCTGTGTGTGTCATTTCTTTATCCAATATTTTTTTGCTAGCATCAATTTGTTGATGAAGTTTTATAGACATTGTAGAACACCGCACCACATGCAGTTTTAGGGACATTGTAGAACATAGGTAGAGTTCATCTAGACTAAAGAATTAGATCCACAAGGACATGTTCAGCGGGGTTTTATTAGACCTTCTCCCAGAGTTTTTTAATGATTTAATTAGCAATGTAAATAGTTAAATTTTCTCCATTCTGTGTCAACAAATTTCCTTCATTCTTTTCTAGCATGATTCGTGGAGCAGAGCATAATTAAAGCACTAACGAAAGCAGTTTCTTTACGTGACTCGCTTTCTAAATATGTGTACTCAATACAATCTCACCGACTATTTTATATCAACTGCACATTCTAAATATGTGTACTCAATACAATCTCACCGACTATTTTATATCAACTGCACAAATCTATCTGATAAATTGAAAGGGTACAATTAAGTACTTTTTGTGCTTTTAAGACTGTTTTTGGCATTGTAAATTGTTGAATACATCGTAATATTTATAATTTCTGTTTAGGGAATGCAGCTCCGCCTCCTTGCTTGTTCCCTTTCCTCTTTTCTCCATTTCCATGAGCATTTTCTATATTAGAACAGACAAGTTCAAGAACTCAGATTAAATTTGTAATGTTGTTATTGTTTTTTCTTGTTTGGTACCATGTCCGCATTACTAATGGTGATTTATTCGTTTCTTCTATGGCCATCAACTCCTATGGAGATTTGCTTTACCATGTTTGTGCTGTGGTAGGATGATGCCGCAATATACCTCTGATAAAACGCTTGCGCTTCCTCTTTTGCAGTTTCATTCATCGTTTTGCTTCTCCGTTTCTGCGCTCACTAGAACTGTTTTATCTGCTCATTTGCTATCAGAAAACCAGATAAATTTGGGTAATTGCTCCAACTCCTGCTCTATAGTACTTTGCTCTTACTGGTTTGCCTTGGATGGTACAGAGCTAATTGTCAATAAAAATAACAAAGCGATACTATACCCTTGGGAGAAAGTTTCATGCGGGGCTACTTTAGTCTTTGCTGGTTTGCCGTGGATGAGTAAGGAGCTAATTGGCGATGTAAATAACAAAAGCCATACCGTACCCTCGGGAAAAGTTTCATGTTTGGGCTCGGGCAAAGCCTGGGCAACTCCTATTAGTGTATATATATATATATATATATATATATATATATATATATATGGGTTTTGCTAACCTACTACAACTATGTAGTAGGTTAGCATTTTATACATATTTGGATTCTCAAAAATACGCTTAAATTTTAGTGATAACTTCATTGTTAAGAGGGGCTTTTTGTCTTTTTTACAAAAACAAATCTTTTTTTTTTTCCGGCAAAAACAAATCTGACTTTCTTCAACATTGCTCCCTCACTATTCTCTCGATCTGTTCTCTTCTATTTTTTTTTCTTTTTCTTTTTCTTTGTAAAATTCAATCCCTAATTTTGGATTTGGTCTTTCTCATATGCTTTTCTTCTTTCTTCTTTGTAAAATTCAATTGATTTATGACCTCCCTCTCTCGTCTTCTTTTTCTTCTTCCTCTTTATAAGATTCAATCTGTAGATTTTCGGCATGGTGGTTTCTAATTATTAATGATTTTTCATACCAAATTTAAAGCATATTGGTGTGAGAGGTCCCGAGTTCAATTCTCGGAATGCCCCTTAATAATATAAAGATTTTGCTCGAGATCCTTAGGATAAAAATAAAATAAAAATTATTGGTAGTAGTTCACAAAAACAAGAAAGCTCCCAAACATATTGGTATCTATGGCTACTATTAATTGTTGTTGAATAATTGACTAATGCTTTTGTAGCATTGACAATACAATCTGGAGAGTGGAGTCTAAGAGATGGTGGGGAAGAAGAAGAGAGAATGAGGAGACGGGGGAATTAAGGGAACCAATTATTTGGCTTAATTTGTGAAATGACTAAAAAGCCTCCCAGGCCAAATGTGCTGGCATTAAAATTTAAGGGTATTTTTGAGAATCCAAATATGTATACAATGCTAACATACTACAACTATGTAGTAGGTTAGCAAAACCCTATATATATATAGAGGCATTTGCATCTATACCCGCTTTTTGTGTCACGTTTTAACTTGTGTCCGCTTTGCAAAAAAAAATTGCAAGCGTACCCGCTTTTTCGCATAACTTCAGCATACGGGGCTGAAGTAGCAAAGACAATCATGCAAAACTTCAGCATTCTAGTAGCCGGGCCTGAAGTTCAGCTCTAGAGCTGAAGTTTTTGTTTGTAACTGGCGAACTTCAGCTCTAGAGCTGAAGTTTTTGTTTTGTAACTGTCAAACTTCAGCTCTAGAGCTGAAGTTTTTGTTTTGTAACTGGGGAACTTAAGCTCTAGAGCTGAAGTTTTTGTTTTGTAACTGAGGAACTTAAGCTCTAGAGCTGAAGTTTTTGTCTTTGTAACTGGAGAACTTCAGCTCTTGCACCTCTTCTTGAAAAGTTAAAGCTCTTGCACCTCTTCTTGAAAAGTTCAGATCAACTCTTGGAAAGAAGGCATATATCGTTGTCTCAGGATGCAATTTTTGCACTTGTGAAGATGCCGCTACAGCTTTGAAATGGCCAAAGGCAGTATGCGAAGAAAGAAGATTCAAGATTATGGATATAGGAGTTGGTGCTTTATCAGGAATTTCAAATTCAGAGGTGCCTGTTGTTCAAGGAGTGTACGTTAGCATGAAAGGACTTATCAAAACTCATAATCCTAGCCTGGTGATAACAGTAGCTGATGCTGACTCTAATGTGAGAAAGCTCTAAATATGGCTACAGAGGCTAATACTATTGTGATTTTACGCCTAATATTTCCCTTCCCTTTTGTCTACACTTGATCTGACATTTTTGACCAATGCATTTGTCATTAATCAAAGAGAGCAATGTTGAAGTCATCGTTGTAGAAGAAGAAAGAAGAAAACGAAGGAGGAGAAGGCGGAGGAGAAAGGGGGCTGAAGTTGTTTAAAATGTGGGTACAAGTTAAAAGTTTTAAAAAAAATAGGTATAGGTTAAATGGGGGCGGCCAAATAGGGCGCCCCGTGCAATTTATATATATATATATATATATATATAATTTTGTATAATTAATGTATAAGTGTATAATTATCAAAAAAAAAATTATTTTGTGATCATTCAAGTATTAATTTATTGTTGGGAAGTCACTTAGCTATTCATCAATTCATTTATATGTTATACATATTTTCTGGTCTACTTTCACACTCAAAAAGTTATGGAACTCATTTATCCCGCATACTCGATCCTAATAATCCAAAGAAAAAGAGGTTTTACACCAAATCTCCAGAATAAAAACATTATAATTTCAACGAGCTTTTACCCTAAAATCTGATAACATCAATAGTGAAGCATTTTAACATTGTGCATGAATAAACTAAAATATACTGGAAAATTATTTTTCAAGAGACCGATCAACTTCCATCGATTTATCATTTAAAATAAATTAAAATTAATATTCAAATTTCGGTCAATTTTCTTCGGCCAACACATAAAAAAATTAACCAATTTCGATTGGTAATTTTATTTTTACATAAAAAACTTATTAATTTCTATCAATTATTTCGCATACTTAAAGAGTTTAAATTGAAAAAAATTAAAGCATTAAACCAATAAGCATCAATAGTCTAGCGGTAAAATAATATCTTGCCACAATTCAGGCCTCGGTTTGATTTTCTAGATGGTACATCATTTAATTGTATAATTTTAAAAAAACAATTGATTTTGGTTGGAAAAAATGACAGATTTCTACCGATTATTTATTTTTTAGGTGAGTAAGAATTCAGTTGAACAACCGAAATCAGAGAATCTTAAGTGACCCATTTCGATTGGTTTTTACATTTTTTGGGCAATTCTAGAATTCAGTTGAGCGACCAAAATCATTGACTTTTTAACTGATCGATTTCGGTTGATTTTTGTTACCGATCAGCATTTTCCCGACCATCCAATTTCAAAGTGCCAACATATAAAAAATGCTAAATTGTCTGAATCTAATAATTAGTGTCATGTTGCGTCAAATAAATTGTGTTATCAAACATCAATAAACTACATAGATAACAAGAGACATAAAAGAATCTTCAACTCTAGATCATAATGAGATTGGTCACGTGCCACATGCTTAAGTTTCTGAACATAATACTAATATGTTTAGTGAATGACAAAATAAAATGAATATCAAATAAACTATCACATATGAAGTTCATCATTATTCAAGAAAATAATATCAAGAAATTGCTACTCCAAAATCCTATCAAAATCATGTGTACAAAAAGTTTGTTGTGACAAACATATGCTTAAACTGTCAGGCAGTGTCTTGTTCTCAAAAGTAAATTTCTACTTGAAGACCTCAAAGGTTGAGCAGCATTGGCTCAGAATCAACTTTATGCTAATCTTCATCTGGTACATTTTATGACTATTTCAAAATAGTGGTAACTGCTAAAAATACTTGAAAAGAATGTTGTTTCCTTCACCATCGATGCATTGTGAAAACAATGGAGTATTTATAATATCCAAGACAAAGAAACTGCTTAATTCAAGAATTCCATTTGATTCCTAGAATGCGTTAAGCAAATAAGCAAGCATATAACAGAACATACGTATAGATCAGAATGAGACAACTATAATCTGATCATTATTCTGATAATAATGGAGATAAAAGATGGAACCAGAAAGTAAAGTAAGAGAAAGAATTGAACTACCTTGTTGCTGCACATTCAGTTAACAGGAATATGATTCGGATATCTCATTCTCCATATAGATGAAGCTTTGAGGGCTAAAGGAAATGAAGAATGAATTCCAGGCAAAGGCATGTTTCCTGCACTCCAAGGCATAATCAGATGGTTGATGTGCATATTTCTGCCATGAACGTGTTAGTCCAAAAGGTGAATGAGCAAGTTTATATATAAGGACTGAAGGATCATATAAACGTATTTCAGAAATAATATGCTAGTTATTATTCTCTAGTAACTTCTTTACACCAGCTAATTATCACAAAATAGAGATGCATGCTTCTACAGAACACAATTGAAATACATAACTCACTCAACTACAATCAACCACCAAATCAAGGAGCCCGAAAGATATAGCAATATAGGAATTATAGATATTGAAAGAGGCCATAACTAAGATGAGAAATACAGGCCTAAAAATCTCTGCACGCCTATTTGGTCAAAGCAAAGAACTTGCCTTGTGTTTATCCACTGCACTCCAGAGTTAGATCCAATATGAAGACATAAACGAATCCAATCGAGTCATAAAGAAAACCTACAAGACCTTTAGATGGATAACTGAATACTTGAGAGCCTCCAAGCAATATAGAATATCCTTGTTTCCAGCAACCAGTTAGTGAACAGCTTCAATAGTGAAAGCAATTAGTACTTATAAAGCTATGTAGACAAATGTGAAAGATGACTATAACTCCCTGTTCAAAATTTAGAATTTAGAATTTACAACTTTTCTTTGTGCTCACAAACTTTTCATTTTGCTTCTGATTGCTGTTGCCAATGAGTTATACATTGGTTTGGAACTGAACAAGGTTCAGAGTTGAGACTAATATATACTTCCCTTGATAATATATACTACATGGAAGTGGGGACAATTACAATGGGTAAAATGCAGTTTTGGATAATACTACATGCATGGCATTGGGATTTCTCTCTGTGTTCCACCACCACTACATTAACTGTACTGAGCATCTCATTCTAATACTGCTCAAATGTTGCTGATTCATTTTGCAGCATCCTTGAGGGCTTACAGCAACCGAAATCCAGCACTTAGTTGTGACTTACTGTTGCTTTCACAGCCTTCCCCATCATCACCGATTGCTTTGTTGTACACCTCAACAATAATTTGCACATAGACTGTGTGCTAGGTGCTGCCATCCTAGAAAAGAGCATATACCCAAATCTCAGAAATACACAACAACAATCAAAGTAAATTATAGTTTAACAGTTAAAAAATAACTTACAGCTACACGGCTTCAACATTGCCGTCTTTTGGTAGAAACCTCTTCCAAAACCAGTGTTGTTTGAAGAGATCTTCCTCAACTCCTTCGCCTTCTTTCTTTTTTCGCTCGGGCAAAAACTTATAAATGGAGAAGCACACTCCCAGTGTCAGAACGGCAAATAACATGAATATCCAGGCCTTGAGCGCAGCAGCAAAACGGCCGGATTCATGATTAGAGACATGAGCAAAGATATGCTCGTCTCCCAACATGAACCTAACACTCTTATCTCTTCAGCGTATGATTCTTCAATCCACTCAGAAGGCCCCGAGAACATTGAATAGCAGCCTATGAGGGGGATGGCAAATGCCATGCCAACATACGCACTCTTTTGGCTCAGTTGAAAGATAGGGTCTCCTACCAAAAGGAAGAGACCCAACAAGGAAATCTGGAAAAATCCCAGAAAAGTGAATAAGTTACATATTCTATATTTCAATTAATAAAATTGATCTCTTTAAAGAAAGCCTAAATACGAAAGAAATGAAGAATTACCTGTGCCACAACCATGCCTAAACATGCCGAGACTAGAGTCCTTCGTCGTCCGAAGTAACTATAACCTGGATAAGTGAATCCAGCAACTCCAGCCCGAATGACTCCGGCAATGAGCGGAGCGACGAAGGAGGCATTATAGGCGAATCCAGCTGACTGGAGAATGAATGGCCCAAAGAAGAGGATTGAATCTAAGCCCGACAGTTGTTGAAAAATTTGAGCTGCTATGTTAACCAGCAAAAGGGGCGAGCGTGACAGTGTCCCCTTGCCTTCATTTTCAACCATGTCTGACAACATCTGCAGCTCTGCTTCTACTCCAGATTTCCTCAACGTCTTAAGGGACGCTTTTGCCTCCTCCATACTCCCTTTCTTAATGAGAAACCTTGGGGTCTCACTAAGAAAGAAAGACAGCACAAGTAGTGGCAAGGCCAAAAACCCGCTACTGGCAAAGGACCATCTCCAACCATAGCGGAAGTTGTGAGATGATGCCATGTTTACTACTTTTGTGCCGGTACTTCCCCATAGTACCATGGAGTTATATCCGAGGGAAATCCATTTTGGTGCCTTCCCAACATTGATCTCACTCAATATGGTGGGAATCACCTGCAAGATTGTAACCAGGGGTGGATGTAGTTTGTTAGGAACGAGTTCAATGGAACCCATAACTTTCGATGCGGTGTAAAAATTTGTTAAAATTGCAAAAATAGTAGATATGAACCCATAACTTTAAATAGACAATGGGTTCAATGCTAAAAACCCTAAAAGTTGAACCCATAAAATTTAAATCTCGGATCCACCTCTGATTGTAACTTGTTTAAAACTATATATTATGATATTTCCTATTTCAGAACATAGCAAATACTAATAATGGTTAGTTGGATAATATTACTATTTCACAACAATAGTTGATCGGAGTTGAGGCAGGTGGAACTCGGGGTGGCAAACAGGCTGGTCGGGTCGGATATGAGCGGGTCAAAACGGGTAATTTAAAAAACGGATAAAGTATCCGATCTGACCCGTATTTGAGACGGATAAAAACGGGTTTATCCGGCGGATAATATGGATATCCATATTATCCTTGGCTTCTTAAATATGATCACTCATGAGAGAATTCCTAGTCTTCCAAACTTGAGGAACTCTAATTTGACGCTTTACAAATGTAAAAGTTAAACACATTAGTTATTCATTGGTTATCCATTCGGTTAACCATTTTCTAAGTGGATAATATGGTTCTTTATCCATATTCGACCCGTTTTTAAATGGTTCATTATCCAACCTATTTTTTGACGAATAATATGGGTGGATAACAGTTTTCTTTTAACCATTTTGCCACCTCCAGGTGGAACATACATTTATACTAGTTGAAGACTAAC